TCAATCGTGACATTCTATTCCACTTCAAAGGAGCGTGGCGCAGTGGTGGGCCCATAACCCAGAGATCGGTGCATCGAAACCACTCGCTGCTAATGTTTTTATCGGGGCTTATAAAGAAGATGGTTTCCTTGACACGATATTAAAGCAGTTCCATTTTTTGAGTTCGCAGCTATTCCGATTTCTGCATAACCACCGCTGGTTTCTCATGGATAGCACCTTGATCTTGTAACGATTAGGATTTCAATCGTGACATTCTATTCTCACTTTGAAGCAGCGTGGCGCAGTGGAAGCGTGCTGGGCCCATAACCCAGAGGTCGGTGCATCGAAACCACTCGCTGCTAATGTTTTTATCCGGGCTTATAAAGAAGATGGTTTCCTTGACACGATATTAAAGCAGTTGCATTTTTTGAGTTCGCAGCCATGCAGATTTCAGCAAAACCACCGCTGGTTTCTCATGGATAGCACCTTGATCTTGTAACGATTAGGATTTCAATCATGACCTTCTATTCTCACTTTGAAGCAGCGTGGCGCAGTGGAAGCGTGCTGGGCGCATAACACAGAGGTCGGTGGATCGAAACCACTCGCTGCTAATGTTTTTATCCGGGCTTATAAAGAAGATGGTTTCCTTGACACGATATTAAAGCAGTTGCATTTTTTGAGTTCGCAGCCATGCAGATTTCAGCAAAACCACCGCTGGTTTCTCATGGATAGCATTTTGATCTTGTAACGATTGGGATTTCAATCGTGACATTCTATTCCACTTCGAACGAGCGTGGCGCAGTGGTGGGCCCATAACCCAGAGGTCGGTGCATCGAAACCACTCGCTGCTAATGTTTTTATCCGGGCTTATAAAGAAGATGGTTTCCTTGACACGATATTAAAGCAGTTCCATTTTTTGAGTTCGCAGCTATTCCGATTTCTGCATAACCACCGCTGGTTTCTCATGGATAGCACCTTGATCTTGTAACGATTAGGATTTCAATCGTGACATTCTATTCTCACTTTGAAGCAGCGTGGCGCAGTTTAAGCGTGCTGGGCCCATAACCCAGAGGTCGGTGCATCGAAACCACTCGCTGCTAATGTTTTTATCCGGGCTTATAAAGAA